AGCTTAAATGATGGCTATTTCAGTTTATATCCTTGTTTGAACGTCTTGACTAAAAACAAGTGTAGAACTTTGTTTTCAATTTTTTTCTGCTGTGGCAACAGAAAAAAATCTCTCCTGTATAATATTTTTGGTAAACAGCATATAATGGTTTATTTCTGGGTCAGTGTGAAATGGCCTTCCCTCGGGTTAAGCCAGCGCCTGATGAAACGGCCTTCAGTGAGGCCCTGCTGAAGAGGAATCAAGACCTTGCTCCGAATTCTGCTGAGCAGGTATATTCTTTTGGCTGCCTTCCTGAGAGTTCTCTAAGAAACCTGGGGAGGTGAATGATCACTAGTGAGGTACGGGTGCAACAGCCTAAATTCCACAGAGGGTTTACTTGTTCTACTTATTTGTCACTGTGGGTAGGAGAGTGCCAGGTGAATATATAAGCAGACTACATGTGCATTGTATTTTTATTAGGGAATCTATCTTTGAGATCAAAAGGTTATTCTCTTTTGGCATATTTAAGGCCCCATGTTGGTAGTGATTCAGCTTCTGTGGAAGGGATTAGTGGAAAATACTCAAACGCTGGGAAGTTGCTTGTAATTTTTCATCTTGGGGTGTTTTTCTTTCTTGCTGTTTTTCAGGCCTCTATCCTTTCTCTAGTGACAAAAATAAACAATGTGATTGACAATCTGATTGTGGCTCCAGGGACATTTGAAGTGGTGAGTTATGATTCAGTCATAGAAAAGGTCAGGTTTTGATAGTGTGGAACTTTCCTTGGCTCCCCTTCATTCTTCAGTGGCCTGTTATCCAAAGCCAAGCCTAAAATGGGGGGTACAGTGGAATGCCTTTGTCCTACTGATACTGGGGACAAGATGGTATCATGGTTTCCAGCTAGCCATGACGTATCAGGCTTTTCATGTGGCTGTTTTTAAGATAGGATTTGATGTCACCTATTCCATATCTGGGTGTTAAGAAGTGTACTGTAATTGAGTTCTGAGAGGAATTAGTCTTTTCACCTCTAAATTTTTTTTCCTGACATCCCTTCTCTAACAGCAAATCGAAGAAGTCCGGCAGGTTGGATCATATAAAAAAGGAACGATGACCACGGGACACAATGTGGCTGACCTGGTGGTGATCCTAAAGATTCTGCCAACATGTGAGGGGACCTTTTTGGCCCCAGGAGCAGAACGTAACGTAGTTGGGTTTGAGGCATAGTATCTTTAAAGCCCAAATTTCTTGTGAGAAAGGCTATTTGGAAGACAAACAAGAAATTAATTTGGGGTAATAAGGGACAAATTCAGGAATGTGTGTCTGAAAGAACATACGGTCAGTTTTATAGGGTGGTGGTCCTCAACTGGGGGTGATTTTGTTCACCAGCGGACATTTGGCAGTGTTTGGAGACATTTCTGGGTTACTGGCATCAAGAGGGTAGTGATCAGAGTACTGCCAAGTATTCTGTAGAACACAGGACAGACTCTACCCCAACCCCCCAAAAATTATCCAGCCAAAGATGGCATCAGTGCCACTGGCAAACCCTACTGAAGAAAAAGGGGATGGGGATAGAAGGAGGTGTCCTGTTCCCTGAGCCTCCCAATTTCTCTGTCCAGGCATTAGCTTTCCTTATAAAAGTATTTAATTTATTCTGTTGCTTGTTCTTACCCAGCCTGAACATGGGGCAGAAATCAGTGCAAAATAGCTGAGGGATACATAGAAAGTCAATGAATAACTGCAATGTTCATTATCTCCTTTTCTCTCAATCTAGTGGAAGCCGTTGCTGCCCTAGGAAACAAAGTCGTGGAAAGCCTGAGAGCACAGGATCCTTCTGAAGGTTTGAGTTTGTTGCTAAGCATGTATTGGTGGTCACAGGAGCCGGTTCTATAATTACAAGTAAAAGGTCAGGCTAGAAAGAGTGAATGCAGAGTTTCACGTTGGGGAAGTTTTGGCAGGGAACTCCAGTGTTCAGCAAGCAGTTGATCTCACTTATTTTTCAAAGCTGTATTTTAAATCCTCATTCTGGACTCCTGCAGTTTTTAAAAAGCCTGTGTGTTCCCCAGCCCCCGCCCTGGATCTGCCTTGGTCATCTAATAGAAATGTGAGTTACAGCTTTTGGGTTTTCTTTTCTTTCAGTTTTGACCATGCTTACCAATGAGACTGGCTTTGAGATCAGTTCTTCTGATGCTACAGTGAAGATTCTCATTACCACAGTGCCACCCAATCTCCGAAAACTGGACCCAGAACTCCATTGTTAGTCCTTTTTTCCCACTGCTGGGAAATGTGGAGGAAATTCAAAACATGGTGGGAAGTTGCCGTTGAGTTTATTAGCTTGTTGTGCCACATGAAACCTGGGACCTGCATTTATCCCAAGCTGTGCCATCTCCCTGTGTAATTTGGAGAGTTTTGCCAGCTTGCCAGTGAAATTGCCAAAGACATGACGGCCAGGAAAGCTGTTTGAGAACTTAAGAAACAGACTAAAGAAATATTTATGGAGGGTAGGCCTTTGGAGAAAATCGTGAATCTTGCATGCTTCTAGATGTGGTTTGAGGGAGGAATAGTGATTTTTGGACAGGTGATTTGCTGATCTTAGGGACTTGGGGATAGTTTAAGGAATTACTAAGTTATCCTGTCCTCCTCCCAAGTTCTGGACTGTGGCAGTGTATTGAATTACTCACTTAATAGTGTTTCACCTTGGCCTTCATGCTTACCTTCCAGTGGACATCAAGGTACTGCAGAGCGCCTTAGCGGCCATCCGCCATGCCCGCTGGTTTGAGGAGAATGCCTCACAGTCCACGTGAGTCCCTCTCTCCCTATCTGAATTAAGATAACCTAATCCTTCTGGCTACAGCAAGTAGCAGGATGACCCATACTTCACTGACAGAACTTTTCTGGCTGTTATCTTCTGTCTAGATTTTGATTTTTACCATAAGTAAGCAAATTTAATTTAGATTGAGAAGAGAATTGTGTAGTTCTGGAAATAGCTTCAGCTCTGTACCTCAGCTGTGCAAGTATGTGATCTTATTACTTGCAATCCCTGGGTTCCTGTTTTTTTCAGAGTTAAAGTTCTCATCAGACTGCTGAAGGACCTGAGGATTCGTTTTCCTGGCTTTGAGCCCCTCACACCTTGGATCCTTGACCTTCTTGTAAGTACAGGACAGGTGAAGTTCTTGATCATCCCTATTTAATAGTAGTTACTCTGAAGCCTACCTGAATCTGAAATTTGGCGAAGCTGAAAAGAAATCTCATTGGTGTAGTAGTTACTCTGAAGCCTACCTGAATCTGAAATTTGGCGAAGCTGAAAAGAAATCTCATTGGTGGACAGGTAGTCCAGGAAAGAGTCAATGTTTATTACTTCCTTGGGTCTTCGGAGTTTTTGGTTAAATGAGTAGTTACTACTGCCTATCTGGTTACTGTCATTTCATTAATATGAGAATGGAGAGAAATTACTGAATGAGTAGCCATTGCAGAATTGCTTCCAAACATGAAAATTTTGGCCAGACCTTCATAATTACTTTTCTTTGTGAACGCTTATAGTTTTAGTTTGAAAACAGAATTGCCACTTTTATGGCCCACCTGCCAGACTTACTATTTTCCAGGGGCACTATGCTGTGATGAACAACCCCACCAGACAGCCTTTGGCCCTAAATGTGGCATACAGGTATAACACGCTTCTCTGGGTTTGGGGCTGGGTGTAAGCTGTCTTGTGTGTGCTTTTAATACCTCCCCGTGTTTCAGGCGTTGCTTACAGATCCTGGCTGCAGGACTGTTCCTGCCAGGGTCAGTGGGTATCACTGACCCCTGTGAGAGTGGCAACTTCCGAGTACACACAGTCATGACTCTGGAGCAACAGGTATTGGGACAACTCTGAAATGGTCTGTTGTGCCCCCCACTCTTAAAAGTGCAGGTCAGAAGGTGAAGGGAATGTGGTTTTTAGGGGTTGGGGATTTGGGGGTTTTCACAGACATTGGTCTTGAAATGTTGTGTTCATCTCTGTCCTTGAGAGTGTTCATCACACAGAGTACTTTGATTTTCCTTGCTAATTTACTGTCACTTTGTTCTCCTTTAGGACATGGTCTGCTACACAGCTCAGACTCTGGTCCGAATCCTCTCACATGGTGGCTTTCGAAAGATCCTTGGCCAGGAGGGTGACGCCAGCTGTGAGTGGCCCCCGTGGGTCATGGGCTCTTTATGGCACTCTGCGGTCTACAAAGCAGCCCCCCACTACTCAGATGCCTTAATATTTCTGCTGTGTCCTGACTGTCATGCTGGACTGTCTGAAATCACCTGTTTTTTTTTTCATCTAGATCTTGCTTCTGAAATATCTACCTGGGATGGAGTGATAGTAACACCTTCAGAAAAGGCTTATGAGAAGCCACCAGAGAAGAAGGAAGGAGAGGAAGAGGAGGAGAATACAGAGGAGCCACCACAAGGAGAGGAAGAGGAGAGCATGGAGACTCAGGAGTGACTTGCCCTTCTCCCCGCCCCCTTTCTTACCCGAGGGGAAGCCTGGAGCCTAAGCTAACTGCTACTGGGATTTGTATGGTGGCATTTCTGAGGATAAGGGAGAGAGGAAGAAAAATAAAAATAAACTATAGAAGGAAATACCATTCCACTGGGTTCTGATACTGGCTTAGTAGCCATAAGTCCCCCATTTATGACCTGTGCCATCCAACTATAGGGAAGCAAATATGTTTTTCTTCCTAATATTCTAGAATCCCCCAGTTGCTGGGAACTTCTCTCACCAGTACTTTGTTGTTGAAATGTTGCAAACTGTTAGTGTTTTGAAAAGAAAAAGGTTTTTTTTTTCTAAGAAAAATGATTAAAGTACTTCCTAGTAGGGCTCTTGGTCTTGTTTTTCCTTGGCATCTGGAAACCTGTTTTGCTTCACTTTGCTTTCTATACTCCATTGAAAATGATACTTGAGTCTTTTTATTATAAATTCTAGGTCACAATTTGAAGCTGTATTTGAATTAAAGTACAAATACTCTTAGAATCTTTCCAGGTAGAAGAGTAGACTAGAGTACTGTTTAAGTATTTATTGAATTAAATGGTTCTAGTAACACTGTTGCTGTATTCAATTCAGTGCAATCAATAAAAGAGGGTAGATGGGTCATTCACCTTGACTTTGCCTGCCCTCTTTTCCAAATCCTCAGTGCAAAGAAAAATCACAGGCAGAGAACATGCAATAGAGGAAGCCTCTCCCTGCTTAACTAGGCTTGAAGGTAGAGGGTGGGCCTTGCGCCTGCAGCTTTAAAACAAAAAAGATGTAGATGCCTCAGCTCATTCTTGGAAAGAAGAGCCATAACAAATCCTTCGGGGTCCTGAGTCCTGCTGTATAGGTTTCTTTGGGTCCCACATGAACAGGTAAGTGCTTCAAACACAAACCACAGGGGCTGCCTTTTTGATGTCCCAAGGTCAATGGCGTCCTGGAGGAAACAGCAGCTAGGGCCATGGGCACATCTGGCCTGTTACTTGCTTGGGGAACCAGGGGGGTAAACTCCTGAATCAAGCATTGCCCTCCTGCGAGCTGTTTCCTTAGCAACGCTGTGGTTTAGCCGTCTCAGCCGTTCCTACAAGACAAAAGATTAGGAAGTCTGCTCTCTGAAACGCTTTAGAGTTCAGTGTCAAGTAGGTGCTACAAATATTTTAGACTCCATCTTAACATTAAATCTTGTAAGGTAATATGGCTGTAAACGATAGCAACTGCAGTGAGAATAACAAGGAGTTCTAAAGACTTAACTACGGTGATTTTGTGTTGGGGACTTGGTGACATCTCTTGAAAATTGAAGAATACCCTAACGACTTGGAAAGAATCGCTGTTAACAGGGAATTTTTACCTGGGCATTCTGTAGAATGTTGTTGACCAAGACAACCCGTCGCCGGGCATTAAGTAGCTTCTTCACATAGGGGTCGAGATCCAAGGCTACTTTCTGATCCTCATTGATACGGCACAGTTCTGGGGGATGGAAGCAAGGTGCAACTAACATCTAGTGGCTCATCTCAGGGAAAGTAGGCGAGTAAATGGGATGAAAACACTTGCACCCACGTGGGCCACAGTCCACTGACAGCCCTGATGTTCTGGAAAACGGCGACACAAACAGCCCAGAGCTTAGCCAAACGTAAGGTCCTGGAAGTGAGCTAGAGGATTCCAGGGATACAGGGATACTTACCAGTAGCTAGGTTGTCAATTTGTTCCCGAAGCTCAACCTGGCTCTCTCTGCAACGAGGTACAAGGGCCCACACGGTCAGACAGTATATGGAACTCAAGAAACCTGTTTCCCTACGTGTTTCCCAAGTACTGAGAGAAGCCAGCTCCAACTACCCTCAACCTGCAGCCTTCCGCCGTTCAGCCCCGGCTCCAGTTTCCCAAATTTCTTTTTGTCCGACCTGAACGCGGGCTGGAATCTGGTTCCGCCCTCTGTCGGTCCCACCCCTGCGAAAAACCAACCCAGGAGAGCCCCGCCCCAACCTTCCCTCGTGGGTACCTGACAGCGTGGACATGAGAGTCGAGCTGCTGTACGGCCGGTCGCAGGAACTCGAGGAGGCCCTCGGCGAAGAGGTCGCGGCCGGCGGGCCCCGCCACCGGGGTGCTTGCCCCGGACACGGCGGCGGAACCAGACCCCGCCATCACGAACTTCCCTTAAGCACGGAACCTGCCGCGAGGGCCGCCGGGAAGTGAAACCCCGCTGAGGTGCGCCGCGAGGGGGCGCCCGGGAGATGCCGGCTGCTCCCCAGGCCCTGGGATTCCTGGGAAACCGAGTCTCTGGGGCAGGGCGAGGCGAAGGGCCGGGCTCCAGGGCTCCCGGGACTTGTAGTTCTTTGTAAGCCTGGAAGGGGCGGGTTTTGACGATCTCCAGACTTCAGTAGCTAGAGAAAGGAACCGTTTCTCGGGGTGGGTACTTTTTGTTTTCTCCATTGGTGAAAAATAAATGCTTATTTCCCCAATTGTCCATAGCCTTCCCATGTTAACTTTATGAGAAATCCATATTCATTGTATAGTTTTATATTTCTAAATCTGAGTGTATTTTTTAATGGCGTTAAAATATGGGCCAAACTGCCTATGAATATTATTCAGCCTTAAAAAGAAATGAAATTCTGAAACATGTTACAATATGGATTAACCTTGTAGACATTATGCTAAATGAAATAAGCCGGGCACAAAAGGACAATTATTTTATGACTTCACTTGTGTGGATACCTAGAGCAAATTTATGGGAAAAAAATGTGCTTTAATCGCTACAGAATGGTGTTGTCAAGGGCTGGGAGGAAGAGGGAATGCGGAGTTATTGTTGAATGGATACTCTTAGAGAAGAGTAGTGGTGATGGTCACACAGTAATGTGAAGTTACTTAATGCCACTGAACTGTACACCTAAAAATGGTTACAGTGGCAAATTTCATCATGTGTATTTTGCCACAGTAAAACAAAATTTCAAGCCTGCATTTGTTTCCATACTTTCATTTTTCTTCCCTCCAGAAGTTTCCTCGGTTTTGTTCCCTTTTTCATGTCTTTCTAGAGAGTTTATATCTCTTGTTGAATTCTAAACACGAGACACAGCCCTCTGTCCCTTAAGCTCTAATGAGGTGCAGTGGTTCACAATTCTGGGGGCCGTCGGGGCGGCATGTGTATGGAGATGCTCCTGCAGGGCAAAGGGGACAGAAATACATGGGCACCAGAATGTTCAGCCTCGAGCTTTATCCTCAGGAATAAAGGAGAAGGTGTTGAAATCACTGTGGGAGAGTGTAGTCAGCAGCTGTGACCCTGACTGAGACCTAAATGGTGATAACTTTGAAAGCTTTGTATACTTTTTATTGCTTATTGTGTTTGTTTCCCTGTATCCTTCCCTCTAGTGAATAGAGGTAGGACTCTCCTGAGAGGCTGGGGGTTTATTTTGGAAGTAAGCAGCAAGGAAGGGCGTAGCTAAGGGCAACTGCCCCTGCTTTCAGTCAGGCCTTCAGAGTAGGAAGCCCAGGGGAGAGTGGTGACAGTGCTGAAGAAGAAAGGAAAGATGCCACATCCTTGAGGCCTGCACTGGGGAGAAAGAACAGGGGCTGCCTTGGGTGGGGAAAGGAGTTGATGGCCCAGTGTCTAGAGGAGAAGCCCCACATTAGGCCACAGTCCTGCAAGGTACTTTGAAGTAGGGTTGCCAGATTTAGAGAGCAAAGCAAACGAAAAACCCTGGGGCACTAGTAAATTTGAATTTCAAACAAACAACAGATAATTTTCTAGTATAAGTATTTTATCTGGTACACCGACTTCAAAGGCTGTTCTCTGAGATAAACCATTTTGCTGTTTTTATTGTTTCTATGTTCCCCTTTGCACTGCTCTTATCACTGGAGCTAGTGTCTATCTCTCATTGCCGCGGCCTCCTGACCCATCCATCTCTTGCCTCTAGTCTCTGTATTCTCCAGGCCAGTCTGCGCCCAGTACCAGTCCGATTACATAATAACCTTGCTCGGAGAAAAGAAAAGGGATTCTAGAATCCGCCTTTCCTTGGTTCCTTGGACACTTCCGTGAGGGAAACAGGGCAAGGTCTTACAGAAGCCCTCAAGTCTGATAACAGGTTGAAAGCCAGTGCTCATTCAATTATTCATTCTCTAAACACTTATCACATTCCTGGCATCAGGCATAAGGTATTCAGTGCAAAACCCCCCTCCTTTGCTGCTTGCACACATATCATTGTGAGACCCCTGGAAAGTTAGCTTGACGTAACTTACTCCATTTTGCAAAGCTTAGCCTGACTAACTCTATCTTGTGTTAAAACCCTAGTCATAAGCAAAATCAGTAAAATTACAGTTCTAAGCAAAATAAGAGAAAGGAAGTACCCTATGCCTGGGAAAGCCACAAGCTAGAAAACCACAATGAGTAAATGTCCATTTTGCTGAAACTGTAATTATCCATTTTTGCTAGATCTGCCCCTTGGAAAGCCCCTAACCATTTTAGCTATATTTGCTAACTGTTTTTGCTTTATTTGCCACTTACCAAGGTATAAAAGCAAAAAGGGAACTTTGTTCAGGGTCTCAGATTGTGTCCGGTGTTCTGACGGGCTGCTGAGACCCTGGTTCGAACTAGCGATAAAGACCTGTTCTGTTCTTGCATCTTGCAACTGAGCTTGGTGACTGCGACTCCGCACGGGGACTAAAGGAAATGGGGCACAACATTTGGGGCTCGTCCGGGATCCCCGTGAGGAGCAGCAGCCCCAACCGCCGGGTAAGGTCTTTATTGAATCTGAAAGTGACTGGTCACACCAGCCGCAGGCCGGCTGGGTTTTGGCCAACGTGAGTCCGAGGCTGGCGGACGCGCCAGAAGGCAGTTGATCCAGGTTTTGGGCAACTTGAGTCCGAGGCCGGGGGACACGCCGGAAGGCTGTTGCAGGCTCAGGACCATATCGGACCGTCCATGGGTCTCTGGGGTCAGACTTCTCTGACTGAGGGATATTCTTCTGTAACTGAGGGATATTCGGGGTATTCCTCACTGACTGAAAGAGATTTCTGGGGATATTTCTGTTACACTCCTGGGAGAATTTGTTTTTTGGCTGGTTTGTCTGTCTTATTTGTCTGTTTTGTGTTGTCGTAATTGGCACTTCCGAATGGTATTAACAAAATTGATTTAGAGACAAGTGCTTGTGAAAATTGGGCATTCTAAAACTTACAGGAAATTCTAATAAAAGATATTAAGCATTAATGCTACATTTAAGTTAAACTGAAATGACATGTCCTTATGGTTATCAGCTGCCTAAGTTTACCTAAAGTCATTTAAGTTGATGTTATCTGCAAATAAAATGCTTAGAGGCTTGACTTTGTCTAATATTAGTAAAGGTCTTGTAAGTGATCTAGCATAGTTGTTAGGAATGAGTAAACTAAGTGTAGCAAATGAACATTTTAATAATAATACTGTATTAATGTATAACTGTGTATATATATATGCAAACAGCCTGAGAATTTTTGTAGTAACCAAAATTCTTAAAGTTTGCTAAATTATATAGACATATTTTGTGCCTAATGAGAAATTGTGCTGTAAAGCACATTTCCAAAAATGATAATACACGTTCATAGATGTATCAATCTGAAGAATGCTAGTGTAACAGTTTACAGTGGCCTATTTTTCAGTGTTCACTGAAAGTTAAAGTATTAAATGGTTTTAAGTTCTAATGAAAACTACTGAATAAACAACAAAAATATCTCTGTATGCTAAAGATGTGTTTTAATAAGAGAAAGTATAAAGAATGGAAATTCATTTTGTTGAGGGTAAAAGAAGGTAATTGTTCCAAAGTACAGCTATTTATTTAAAGGGGGAGAACACTGAATATAGAAAGAAAGTTGTAGAAAACTCGTGGAAAAATTGATATAGTCATGCTATGTGAAATTAAAGCAAGTGACTCTTGATATCAAGTACACAGCAAAATTAGAATTTTGTTTTCAGTTAAAAAACAAAGTTTTCTTTAACTGTTAGTCTGTTCTTAATGTTGAAAGATTGCAAAAGGTTTTCTAATTGTTATATCAAAACAGTTTCTCATGCTTAAAGTCTCAATGAATTGTTTGAGTACTTAAGAAAATGAGATCTTAATATTAAAAGACTAAAAGTTAAACTTTGCTAACAACTGTGTAAACTTCTATATCTACCTTTGAAGTATTTTGTTGTCATTCTAGTTAAATAGATAAGTATTGCTTCATGGCAACCTATAATCTTATTTAAGCAAATGCCAAAGAAACTTTCTTTTGACAGCTTTCCAAAAATCAAATTCAAAAGGGTGCTTTTACCTCTAGTTAACTCTGATATTTTCCAGAGGGCCCCTGGAACATGTCAGAAGAATTTTTTCTCCTCATCGGGAAAAATATTTGGCTAATTTGGCTTATTTATCTGATATCTATTTACCTAGAAAGCACTGTCAAAGGGAATGATGCTAAACTTTGTTACTGAATGGTTTTTTTTGTTACAGAAATATCTGAATTTCCTTATGTCAACTGTCTTACAGTAAGCTATCATCAGATCTATAACCATTGTCATTTGTAAGTCTTTTGTCATTTATAGTCACTGTTTTATTACTCCCACACTAGTAAACAGGTATTGGTTACATAGGATTAAGTAAATAAAGGAAGATGCTTTGGTGGCTTTTTGTTTCAAATGTTGCTCTTAAAGTGTTTTAAGTTTTTTCTCTTAATCTGACAACAGTTTAGTAAATGACTGTCTTTATAAGCAGAATTGAAACTTTGTCTTTCTCTCTACCTGATCCCTCCAGAATTTAAAAACTCTCAGTGACTATTTTTATATTTCATGGCAGTATGTTTATTTGCATAAGTTCAATAAGAACCTGCTTTCCTTGTAAGAGGACCGATTATATATAATATAATATTATATATATATAAAATATAACCACTAGTTATATTACCAAGGCTTTGACTGGAATGTTATACCTGAGAGACACGTGTGTGGACTCAGATGTGAACAAACCGCTTTAAGGAACAGGTTGACTTTATAAAGCCAACAAAGCCCCCTGGAAGAACTGGCCTGGTACCTTGCTTACAGGGTTCCCAGCAGCCTTACCAGGTGAGTAAGGAAGGTCACTTCCTGGCAGGTGCAGGAACCTTAGGATGTCTTGGGGACCTCAAGAAGAGAGGAATTCACCCAAATGTACAGGTACTGCAGGAACAACCTGATGGCAAGTCTTACTTGGCTTTCTGGCCTCAAGAGGCCTTTAAAAGTTCAATCTGAGATTCCTTACAAAAAGTTCCAGCAAAGCACATTTAAAAGAGCCTATGTAATCAATTGCTTTTCTTGCTGCACTTATGCAAATAAT